CCGTGTGTCATTAGTCTTAATGTTTGCCTCAAATAAATGGCTGAAGGGACCAGAGCGTCCAAAGCAAAAGCCTTCAGCTTTCCTAGGTCCCCAGAGAGCCCAAGGAGATTTGTTTGGCTTGTCCTTTGACGGAAGGGGGGGCTCTTTGTGGGACGCTGCACCTGAGCTGGGACGCCTCTGTTGATGTGCTCCGTCTCTTGTTGAGACAGCACTTCACCTTCTGGCTCAGTGTGGTTACTGTTCTGTTCTTATTTGACTTGGTGTGCTGTATTTTATGATCCTAGGGATGTGCGCGCCTAGGGCAACCTAGGGTTTGAGAGAGCAAGGCAGTCAATATCATTTTACAGTTCAACATAAGATCAGAATCCGCAGGAAACTTGCTTGGTTTTCTTCTGAGTGAGGCAGGGTCTTGACACAACTATTCTTTATTAGATGATTTCTTTTTTTTCCCTTCCTCCCAGCACTTAGAGCCTCAGCCCCTTTCACCCTTGGCCAGGAGGGTTGAGGAGTCAGGGACACATGAGACTTGGCATCACAGATCTTACAGTTCAACAGTGTACCTTCTGACCACACTCTACATCTGAATAATCCTCCTTACCAAAGTTCCCTGCTCAGGGCAGTATGTGCCTTTTACATGAACTGCCTGTGAGGAGGAGCGAAACTGGAAGTTCACCTGTTGGAACATACTCCCTGTGACGTTCTAGCTGAAGACTCTCGTTTCTTGTCAACATCCTCAGAATACCTTAAGTGAAAGGAAGTTCGTCATCCGTCATTGCCATCCAAGGCTAGCATTTCCCTCACCCTACTCACAAATTCCTCACTGCAATGTCACTGCCACCCTCCACTATTATCCACACCACATGCAGCAAGGGTGCAGCTGCACGCTGTTGTCTGTCTTGGTGTTGTGAGTTATAGCAAGCGTGCTTAGCAGCACTCTCCAGTGAACATGCTCCTAGGGAATTACAGCCTGAGGACCCACCCACCCTCGGGTGAATTTTGGTGTAGGTCCCATTGCAGATGGCTTCACAAACATGCGGATTTGATCCACGTGCTGAGCAGTTCATGATCTTGATGTGAAGCAGAAATGTTGGACTATTCATTGTGTCTGGTTAAGCTAGTTCTCCTCCGTAAGTCCAACCCTCCACTGGCCATCTTGAAGAAGTTCTTGGAGATCTTAGCAACAGGAATGCACCATGGCATCGCTGATATTGGAGAACATGGTCAGGGTCTAGGGCAGACCACCAGACAGTGCTCAGTTCAGTGGTTCTTAGCTTGACCCAAATTGTGCCCAAGGTGGGTCTTTACTGAGCACCAAGCACCCTGCTCCTTTCTTCCTTTGCCTCGGGAGGACAGGGCTACTGAAAGCAGATGGCCAGTCAGCGAGGAAGTGGGTACAGTGTTCTGAGAGGTTCCCATCTCTTACGGTTTGGGTTTGTTTTTTTTCTGTTGCTTGGCCTCCTCCCCACCCTCCCCCACCATCTGCCTCCTTCCAGCCCTATAAGCAATACAACATGCTGAATGCAGACACCACCCGCCACCTCATGATTTGCTTCCTGTGGATCATGAAAAACGCTGACCAGGGCCTCATCCGGAGGTGGATTGCTGACCTGCCTTCCATGCAGCTCAACAGGATTTTAGACCTGCTGTTCATCTGTGTCTCCTGTTTTGAGTACAAGGTAAGTGTGGGGTGTCGTCTTCGTTTTCTATTTCAATCCCATCTTGTTCCTCTTCCCTTTGAGCAATGGCCGCATCATTCGCTCTTCATACGTCTATATTCCACCCCATAGCTTGGTTGCGTTTGTAGATGTGACCATTCCGCGTGGAGAGAATGCCTGCCTATTGCAGTGGGCCCATCCCCACTAATAAAGTTTCGTCCGTGGGAGCCTCCAGAAAAGCGACTGTGTCGTACATGTCAAAACTCCCCACCATGGCCCCGAAGTGTTCTCCTTTGACAAATCTCTCCACCAATAGAGACACTGCTAAACTGAAGGTTCCTACCTCTGTCCTTCCAGGGAAAGCAGAGTTCCGACAAAGTCAGTAACCAGGTCCTGCAGAAGTCAAGGGATGTCAAGGCCAAGCTGGAAGAGGCCCTGCTCCGCGGGGAAGGGGCCCGCGGGGAGATGATGCGCCGTCGCACACCAGGTGTGTGGGTAGGCCTCCCCACCTGTCGGACAGCTCTTCACTCTTTGTGGGGAGGAAGGTCCCTGGATGTCACTCCCTGAGACAGCAGGCTCTGGACCCTATGCTTGGCTTGTAGAATGCTTGTTCTCTGCCTCTGAGGGTAAGAATCACCCTGAGAGTCCCCAGCTGCCATGTTTTAATTAAGGTTTAAGAGCAAGTAAAGGCCACATCCAGGAAAGTGATTGACAGAGGAGGGAAGCATTGTCTCCCTTGTGCTTAGGCCCCTAGAGCAGACTGACCAACCAACTGGAGGGTTCTGGGACCCACAGTCATATCCCTGAGTCATTGAGTATACAACTGGAATGGAGCAGTCTCCCCAAAACACTGCCAGCATACCACCATCCTAGGGACCCCATGACCCAAACACCTGAGCTCATCACCTAAGACAATCAAATGTCATGTGCTCCCAGGAGGGCACGGACTTTGGAGAGCACTCAGCACCTTCTCTGGGTACCCTACTCTTCTTTCCAGCAAGTCAGTGTGTGTGTGTGGGGGGGGGCGTGTTGCTCAGGGGAGCCCCTGCTCAGGGGAAATGTGAAAGGCAAGACATCTTCCAGAGCTGCCTCCTGTCCACAGGCAGGTCACCACAGAGACAGACAGCATGGCGGCTTTGTCTCCTCGGGGCAGCAGAGACTGATTAACAGAAGAATGTGCTGAGGCTTCTCAGTTAAGCTGGGCCCTGGACTTGGGGTTATCTGAGAAGGTTTCACGCTAATCAAATTCCTGTCGTGTGTTTCTTAACTCCTAGGGAATGACCGATTTCCAGGCCTGAGTGAAAATCTGAGGTGGAGGAAAGAGCAGACCCAGTGGCGGCAAGCTAACGAGAAGATGGATAAGTGAGTCGCTCGCTTGGCTGCTCCGGGCTACTTTCATTGAAAGTCTTAAACTCTTTTTCCCAGGCTCCTTGTGTTTCTGGGACAACTATATCCTTCCAGGGGTAAGAAAAGGAAACATACTGTCTGTGTAAATACAGCTCCAGCTACCCAGGGTGCCCAAAGGTGTCAGAAGCTGTGACCTTGGCTCTTAAAAAATGTATTCATTGTTTAAAAAAAACCAGTTTCTGCACCCTTGGGTAGCTGATGAAAGCAGCCGGTGAAGAGCAGAAAAATAGAGAAAAGTGCAACTCCACATCTGTATTTCCATAGTGAAAATGGGTGCAAAGATGGATAGTCAGGGATATTTATAGTAGCCTTATTTTTTAATTGTTCAAAAAAATCAGAACTGCTTGGACTGGAGAGATGGCTCAGTGTTTGGGAGCATTGGCTGCTCTTCCAGAGGACCCTGGTTTGAATCTCAGCACCTACATGTTAGTTCGCAACAGTCTATAACGCCAAGATCTGACCCCCTCACACAGACATACAGGCAGGTAAAACATCAATGCACATAAAATAAAAATAAATTTTAAAAGTCAGAACTGCTATGATGTTTAAGAATATGGAAACATAGAACAAAGTCCCAGGCTGTTAACATGTTATGGAATCATTAAGTAACCAGGACAGATGCTTGGTTTTAGAGTTTACTCTCTAATCTCTAATTACATACAGGAGCTGTGTTTGTAAAAGGCCATGGAATAGGGTGGTGGTGGCACATGCCTTTAATCCCAGAACTTGGGAGACAGAGGTAGGTGGATCTCTGTGTGTTTGAGGCCAGCCTGGGCTACAGAGTAAGTTCCACCACAGCCAGGGCTACACAGAAAAACCTGTCTCGAAGGAAAAAAAAAAAAAAAAAAACTCTCCAAGAAATTTACCAAAACAATAATAGTGATTTGGGAATTTTAAAAATATAAGTGATTTGTATTTTCTTTTTCACAATTTGTTATGTTTTCTACATTGGATTTGCATTTTCATATCTAGTATAATCAGAAAAAAATTACAAAGAAAATGAAAAACAACCCTGCTTGGATGGCAACATATGCCGTGTGTGTGTGTGTGTGTGTGTGTGTGTGTGTGTGTGTGTGTGTGTGTGTGTGTATGTGTCTTAGTTTGCTTTCAGTCACTCTGCTAAAACACTATGGCCAAAAGCAGCTTGAGGGAGACAGTTTATTTCATCCTATGATTTACAGTTCATCACAGATGGAGGTCAGGGTAGAAACCTGGAGACAGAGACTGGAGCAAAGGCCATGGAGAAATACTAACTTACTGACTTGCTCTCCATGACCTGCTAGCCTGCTTTCCTATAGAATTCTGGACCACCTGCCCAGGTGTGGCAAACCCCGCAGTGAGCTGGGCCCTCCTACATCAATCCTTAATAAAGAAAATGCCTCTATGGACTTGCCTGTCGCCCAATATGATAGAGGCAGTTCCTCAATTGAGAGTCCCTCTAGGTTTGTGTCCAATTGACAGAAACCAGCCAGCGCATGTATATTTATGAATTATATACCAAAGGGGAGAGAAAGAGAGGACTGTATATAACAGTTTAGACATATGAGAGCAAAAGATAAATGTGTGTGCATAGATAACCTATGTCTTCTCTGCCTCTTAGCCATAGGTGGCTTTAGGGCAGATTCACTGAGCAATACTCCGAATGGCTGAGGACCCCAAATATACGACAAAGCATAGATAATACAGCTTCATGGAGTGTGAAGTGTTCATCAAAGGGAGGGATGAGAAGACTTGGGTGTCGTTTTATAAATGAATGTTAATAACTTTACCATTACCATAACACATCCTAGTCAATTTATGGGACTGTGGGGAGACACACTTACCTAAAACATCACATTTTTCCTACTTACTCTAAAACATTTTTCCTAGAAACATTTTAATAATAGTTTTGAGAAGCATGCCAAATAATCTGGTATCCCATAGCTTCTTAACAGTGAAGGATGCTACTTGTGCAAGTCAGTATGTGATACCCATTAAATGGTGATGGCTTTGCCAGTGAACAAGAATATCCTCTTCTGGGGCTTGGAAGGGAGGCGACCACAAGCTGCCAGGTCTGAAGATGCACGGAGACATGCATTGTTTACTCTGCTGTTGCACAGGAACCCCAGTTGTTGGTCTTATTAACAATGCCCGCTTGCTCAGAGCACTTGGGCTCGCTCTGGTTTCCCTAGCTGGTGTTTAACTTATCTTTGGTTCTAAGCGTCAGTACCTTTTTGCACCCATTTTCAGGGAGGAAATAACGGATTTGAAGTTACATGGCTGGGCACTTGGCCTTGCTTTCTCTACTCCTCTATCTCTGTTTGCCTATCACTTTCATTTAGTGTGTGAGGTGACAGTGTACACCCACAACAGGTGGGTGTAGACGGCACAGCACTGCTTAGAGAGTTAAGTCATCTGCTCCACAAAACGGTAACAGGAGTGCAGTAAGGCATGTTTTGGCTGGGCTGTGTGAACTGCTGTAGGGAGCCTTTCCCGCTTGCTGACATCGGCAATCTTGACTGACCACACAGGTCCTGCCAGTTCCCTGCAGGTTCCTTCTCAGCTCCCAGCTCCTGGTGGGCTGCTGGTTACCAGTGACTGATGACCCTGCAGTCTTTCCTCAGCAGCTGGGTGGCAATTATAAACGCTCCGTGAGAGCTGTTTGGAAATGTTATGATTTTTGGACGACAGCCACTGTCATTTTCTGTTAGCTTTATTTCAATCAGTTTGGCTCTTTCTTTTAGAGGTTAGTGTTTAACCCGGGCTGCACATTCAGATCACCCTCAGGAGCTTCCAGAGTGCCGCCTGCTCCTAGGATAGAGCCTTACACTGCCCTGAACTCTCTATGTAGACAAGGCTGCGTTTGAACTCACAAGGTCTGCCTGCCTCTGCCTCCTGAGTGCTGGGATTAAAGGCGTGCGCCACCACACTAGCGTCAAAGCGCCCCAAGTTACCCTCTGCCGTTTCTAGGTTGGTCACACTTTACAGGTGATTGGACTGTGCAGACAAGTCCGAGCCACACTAATAGATCTCCCAGGAGTAGTGACAATATATCATGGTAATATAAATTACTTACTGCTACTGAACCATACAATTAAAAATGACTAAGGTGGTAAGTTTTATGCGATGTGCATTTTACCACAATTGTAAAAGCAGGTAGGATTGCCTGTACTATCTATTCAGGAGCCTCTAACCACATGTAGCTATGAAGCTTGAAGTGTGACCATTTCACACTGAGATGTAGAACACACGAAAATACACACAAGATTGAACATTTCAACAATGATTTTTAATTTGTTACTTACTAACAGTACTTTTGATGTACTGGGTTAAATAAAATATGGTAAAAAATTAACATTGGCTGGGTGTGCTGGCACATGTCTATAATTCCAGTACCCAGGAGGTAGAAGCAGGTAGATCTCTATGAGTTTGAGGCCAGCCTGGTCTACATGGTGAACCTGGAATTCCAGGCCAGTCACAGTGAGACCTTTTTAAGAAAAAGAAAAGAAAAGATAAGATAATGCCATCAATTCATTTTCTCTTTTTTCGTGTGGCTAACACAAAATCTAAAATCATACATCTGGCCCCTTGTACATTCTACTGGACAATGTTGGTCAAAGTGTGGGTTGTTTTTTGTTTGTTTGTTTGTTTTGGTTTTTTGTTTGTTTTTTTGGTCAGAGGGTTGCTGTTGCTGTTTTGAGACAGAGTTTCAGTAGGTAGTCTTAGCTGGCTCCAGAACTCTCATAAGAACTATGTAGACCAGACTGGCTTCAAACTCAAAGATCCACCAGCCCCTGCCTCCTGAGTGCTGGAATAAAAGGCATGCACCACCACGCCTAGCCCTGGTGCTGTCAATTTAAATGTACGAGTAAATTAATCCCAAAAAAAGCTTGTATATTTCACGTATCTTATACATATACTGTCATTTGGAGAAGGAGGGAAAGGGTTGTCAAACAATTAGAACGGAAGAATCTGTCCTAAGTGTGATATTACTTAAAATACCTTTCTGAGCTCTCAGTGTTGTAAAAGCAACTGTTACTGGAAAAAGAACAATTCTGCGGTAATCCTGGTCCAGGACATTTGAACTGATAGCATAATGCCCCTGCATCAGTGGTACCATCTTAGCCACTGGGGACGACTACTGGGAAAGTCAGTTTTTCCTACCTCTCTTTCCTTAAACCTAAATTCGGATGGTAAAACAAGGTAGAGTAGTACCCTTTTATCTGCAGGCAATGCACTCCAGTGGGTACCCAAAGTTGTGAGTGGTACCAAATCCTTCTCTACATCACTGTGAGACTGTGTCAGTCAATCTGGTAACTAAGACAGCAACTGAGTAAATAACATGTCAGGTAGCATACGCAGCCTGGATACGCTGGACCAAACAGTGATCGCCTGACGGGATGGAATATGACAGCGTGCCACTCAGGACTGCACGCAACTCAGAGCCAATGACTTGTTTATCTCTGGAATCTGTTCTTGACTCTTGTTAACTATGGGTAACTGAACCGTTGAAGGCAAAGCTGAGACCACTTTCTGCCTTCCCAGCTTCACTTGTTTTGTGTGGATAGATGGACTAGTACATAGAATGTACCTGCTCCTTAAAATTAATCCTGAAAAAGAAACAGTGCCCGGTGATTTCCCATTTCCTGCCTGGTACTTTCTAGTCCAGTAACCTCCAGCAGAATGTTTGATGCCCCGCCCCACGGGATGTGAGCCTTGCTTCCCACTGGAGAAGGCCAGCCAGCCCCCCACTCAACTAGGCAACCTTCTTGCCTTCTCAGGTAGACTCACTGTTTCCCAGTGTTCGCCAAGTTCAAGTCGCATCCCGTCTCTCCAGCATGTTGCAGCCCCACCCCCACCCCATTCAGATAGTGCTCATGTGTGACCAGCGGATGAGGCCCTGAGGCTTCAAGCAGCTATCTGATAGGCTCACCTAATTGTTAGTAGCAACCAATAATTACTTCTCTGCCCATTTTGTTATTTTCATAATTGCCATCATTATTAATCACAGTGAAGATACGGATGAGCTGGAGACTTCACTGGACCATCTTCCCAACCAGACGTGAACCCCAGGAAACACTTGCGTCAAGGCCAGCTGCTTTATGTTAATCATGGTTGACTGTTCTAAAGAATCCTTTGTGACATGGTGCATTGGTTGTCATCGCTGGAACCTGGCCAAGCCAGATTGTGCTTTAATTTGACCTCCTTTTGTTTCTTAGAACAAAGGCAGAGTTAGATCAAGAAGCCTTGATCAGTGGCAATCTGGCTACAGAAGCAAATTTAATCATACTGGATATGCAGGAAAACATCATCCAGGTGAGGGCAATACACACCCCGTCTGGCCGGCTCGTGGGTGCAGTTCTTAGAACCGAATAGGGAAATCTTCCTTCAAAATTGAGAAAGACGTGAACATGACTTCAGAACGCCTTTTTAAAACTAAAGTGGGGACGTTTGGAATTTACAGCAGTGCCTACCTTGCAGATTCCAGAGATGCCAGGCATCCTCTGGCTTCTCTGACTCGCTACTCCCTTGGAAAGAGTTGGGTGTTTGAGGAGCTGACCCTCAAGGTTAAACTGGCCCAAGTACGCATGCTCGACTTATAAGGTAGACAGTGGGCTCTTAGCTGAGCACGGCAACAAGGATGCTAACTAGGCTTCTCCTGGTAGGTCAATTCCAATTGGCTAGGGTAGGAGTTGTTGATGACAGAGAGGGATTGGGGTCCCCTCTTGGGGTTCTTAGTCTCCTTAATAAAGAAGTTTAGAATGGACTAAAGGAGAAAGTGAAGATCGATTTTATTAGTGTTTTTAAGAAAAATCCCCCAGGCTGAGAAGTTGTAAATCTTAGCGGCCGTTGGGAGGAGGAGCGTGGAGGAGAAAAGGAAAGACAGCTCTGCCGTTTAAGCTGGCACAGAGAGAGGCCAGACACACACAAGCAGTCACGTGGCAGGGAAGGGCGCCCAGAATGTGGGGAAAACTCAGTGTTAGGGGAAGTACGACTAGAAAAGGGGTAGACAGATAAAGGAGAAGTTACACTTTCTGAATAATTTAGAAAAGGAGACAGATGGATAAAGCTTCGTGGCTTTAACCCAGGGAGCCACCGTGCTAGGAGCAGGGATTCTGGGGAGGAAAGCATACTCTCTCGTGAAAGGACTAATTATTCTGCCCATCTCCTTAACGTGGCTTAAGGTGAGCCTGCGACCCTAGGGCTGGTCCCTTGGTTAAGCGATTTACCATACAAGCCAGACATAATGTTCTCTTGACTAAAAGCTTTCTCTCAGTTGGCCTTTATTGCTCCTCTAACATTCAGACTGCACTGGGTAGAAAACTGCTAATGTGACAAATGACATGTTTTATGCTCAGATTGCAGGACAGGCCTGTGAATGTGCAATCTCTCCTTTAGGAAAATACAAGTCAGCCTCCCATTGCAGGGCTTCCACGTCCTGAGGCTTAACCAACCATTGGTGGGAAATATTAGAAATAAAAACAGATCCATACTGACCATATGCATACTTTCTAATTTCCCATCCTTGTTCCCTGAACAATACATAATAGCAACTGTTGACATGGCGTTTCCATGTTGTATTAGGTACCAAAAGTGAGTGAGGGATGGTTTAAAGTACGTGAGAGGATTGTGGGTTATATATGCAAATACCACCCCCCTTTTATAGGAGGGACTTGAGCATCCAAGGAGGACTCAAGTATCTTTTGAAAGTTTCCTAACTTTGGTACCCTAAACGTTTAGCGTCACATCAATGGTATCTCTGTACAAGGTATTTCTGAGAGCAGTGTACCTGATCCCAAGCCTCAGAATGATTGGCAGTGTCCTAAGAAAGTTGCACTCTAGGAAATGCTTGCTATTATCCTCCTTGTTAGTCCTTCTGTAGCCGATATATTGGCTGCCGACTCAGAAGACACAGCTGCCACAAGTAGCCCTCCTGTACGGGGAGTCCCCAGCTGTCTTTGAAACACTGGTAGAAAGTCATGCCTACAAAGAAAGAACGTTCCATAACCCCGGCTGGAGGGAGATGAACCTTAGAACTTCGTTTAATATCCCAAACTGGGCACAAACCTCAAGTCGATTCATTTTGAAA